GGAATGGAAAAGGGAACTGAGCTGGATCTGTCTGCCCCCAAGCAGCAGGAGAAAGGAAAGGCTGGCAGGGATGGCTCCATACCTTCTCTTTATCACTTGCTTCCCTGGATACTGTTGAGCCCTGATAAAGAAAACAAAAAAAGAAAAATATCATTACTGCAAAGGGGTCACATTCCCAATGAATCCATTTAATTTCTCCATGCAGGAAAAAAAGGAAAGCAAAACAAATAAAGCAAATATCATTAGTGCACTATGGGTCCCACTCCCCACGAATTCAGGAGCAGGAGAGCAGGAGACAAAACAATTCCTGCTCCAGCTGGGGCCAAGGAGAAATGATCCAAATCTCTGCCCAGGAGCACCAACAGCGCGGGCTGGAGAGAGGAAAACCAGCAGGGTGGGACTGCACGGGCTAAAGCTGGGACTGGGCAATTAACTCCAATATGCAAATGAAGGAGAAATTAGCAAAGTGACAGACCCCGTGACCTTGTCCATTTTTGTGACCATTTTGTGACCATTTGGGTCCATTTTGTGATCATTTGGGTCCATTTTTGTGACCATTTTGGTCCATTTTGAACCATTTTGGTTCATTTCGGGTGCAGCCCTGGCCGGGCTCTGGCGCTGCCCAAGGTGGATCCACTGAGGAGATCTTTTAATGAATCCCTGCTTGGTTCTGGAACTGCCTGGCCAATCTCTCATGGAGGAGATCTTTAAATAAATTTACTCTCTAACTCTGCCTGGCCAATCTCTCATGGAGGAGATCTTTAAATAAATTTACTCTCTAACTCTGCCTGGCCAATCTCTCATTGAGGAGATCTTTAAATAAATTTACTCTCTAACTCTGCCTGGCCAATCTCTCCATGAAGAAGATCCTTTTAATGAATTTATTCCTTAATTCTGCCTAGCCAGTTTCTCCATTGAGGAGATCTTTTAGTGAATCCCTGCTTTATTCTCTGTCTGGCCAATCTCTCATTGAGGAGATCCTATAAATAAATTTATTCTCTGAATCTTCCTGGCCACTCTCTCCATGGAGGAGATCCTTTAAATAAATTTATTCTCTGATTCTGCTTGGCCAGTCTCTCCATGGAGAAGATCCTATAAATAAATTTATTCTCTGAATCTTCCTGGCCACTCTCTCCATGGAGAAGATCCTATAAATAAATTTATTCTCTGAATCTTCCTGGCCAGAGCCGCTCACCTTCAGGTCATATTTCCTGTGCACGGTCAGCCTGTGGCTGAAGACGTTCCTGGTGACCACCATGTAGGTCTCCACGCCGTCCACGGTGAGCCGGTACATGCCCAGGAACTGGGGCAGCAGCGTGTTCCCGTGGCACTCCACGATGAACTGGGGCACAGAGGGAGGGGACACAGCTGTCCCTCAGATTTTTGTCCCTCAAGCTTTTTGTCCTTCAGATTTTCATCCCTCAGATTTTTGCCCCACAGGATTTTCATCCTTCAAGATTTTTGCCCCTCAGATTTCCGCCCTCAAGATTTTCATCTCTCAGATTTTTGCCCCTCAGATTTTCATCCCGCAGATTTTTGCCCCTCAGATTTTTGTCCCTCAAGATATTTGTCCTTCAGATTTTCCCCCCTGAAGATTTTCATCCCTCAGATTTTTGCCCCACAAGATTTTCATCCTTCAAGATTTTTGCCCCTCAGATTTTCATCCCAGACTTGTCTCTCAGATTTCTGCCCTCA